AAAATGGTTACCCAAATTATCGGTTCATAATACGTAATATTACGGGAAACAGGTTTCACCTTTGACCGCTTGTTGTGAAAGCATGGCTGCTGGCCATTGGAGAGGGGAAACGTAGTCAAACATACGGAACGGCATTCATTATTCGATAACGTTCAATAGATTAAGAGAGACTTACAAATCATAAGGAAGTTGTAGCTCCGATTTGGTTACTTATCTCATCCTTCTGAACCCCATGATCCATGACTACCCCTGCGTGATCATAGCTCTCTGTATTTTAAAGACTCTACATAATCACGGCAGAAATTAAACGCCACGTACAAGGTCATTATTGGAGTGAGACGCTCCAAGGTCATTTTCGTCCATGTTAGTCGGCCATGTTGCATTGCAATTCTGTAGCTGTTCATTTACACATTGGTTTTTCCGTTTATCCAGCAGTTATTCACAACTTATCTTGATGCACATTGTTCACAAATGTTGCGTTTCACTTCATTATTGTTTCCGTTTCTGTTAAAATTATTTATTTCATTTGTTTTGAAAGTTTTTACCACCAGGTCAGTTCATTCATTTCATTGTTATCGTTTCATACGTTGCATTCATGCATGGTTTCAGTGTTTCAATTGTTTTTCAGCTATTAATGAATTAGTACTGTGTAGAAATCTTGGAGATTATGCACGTGAACATGTTTGGGAAGCAGAAGCCATTGTTTCCAGTTCATTTTTGGTTGCCGTTATTGTTGCTGGCTCAATTGGTTACTTAATATGTAGGAATCTGGAAGAAAATGTCTTTCACGTTCACGTTTACAGCAGGCAACAATCTACGAGTGAATCTGGTGAAGAGAGCACGATCAGGGTTGATATTAGCAAAGTTTTCGAAGAACAAATTAAACCTAGAGAATTTAGATCCTGGTTTGAAGTATAAAAAGCTTTGATGCTTTTCGACAAGGTGTCTGTTGTCAGCTAAAAAACCAGATGTATTGTGAGAGAATCAAAATCGAACAAGGATGAGCCACATGTGAAGTATGAATGTGTGGTGTTTGTATGTACTTTTAGAATCAAATTTAGGAAGCAATAGGAAATCCCTAAATGATTGTTAATGCCTAGTGTACTAGATCCAAACGCACCAACTAGGACTGCCTGTAGTAAATGTGGTGTTAACAAGCATTTTATTTGTTTCAAAACGATTTGAAAAGCGGATAACATACGATGATCTGGTGAGTGTTCGGTAAGAATTTAACTATCAAGAATAACGTTTCGGATTTTGGTCTACAATCGGTGGTTTTTTCGAAGTTACAACAAGCTGAGAAGCTGATTATTATTCGGGGTGAAAAATTGGCTCGTTGCAAATTGCTTGTTTCAGTTCAAATAATGAAATTTCTATTTTTCGGATGCTTGTGATTTCTCCATGGCTATAAACACGGTTGCCCATGATTTTTAAGAAAACTTTAAATAAATTTTCCTTGAACCAGTGGTCTTCTGTTTCTTGGCGAGACGTCTGTTGATACGATTAGACGATTAGGTAGCAAAGTACAATGTTCTGTGACTGTGAATCGTAGTCGTTGTGTTTCGGATTTATATCGCGGATCTAATTGCCATAGAGCTTTTTCCTCATGGTGCATTATGATACCTAGAAACCGTAAGCACGCTACCTTCGGTAAAGTCATTTTTACTTTTAAGTGACAGTGAATAGTGAGTCATTTGAGGCGACAGGATAAATACCTCTAAAAGCTTGCGTGAAGAGATTAGGATATGTTTTACCCAGAAACCTCTCAGGATATTCGCTTTTACTTTGAAATTCAAAGATAACGTTGAGTTGCTCGCTTAGGTAGTAGCAACAGGAGAATACCTTCAGGGGGAACTACTTTAAGGTAGCTTTAGATAATGCGTCATAGAAGTAAGCATTGTATGTTTATTGCGTCTAAATATATTAAACGTTGTAAAGCTGGTCAAGTCGTAGTCCTCACATATGAGTTAGTTTTTTAAATAATGAATGTGCCGTACTAGCGTCTACCTAGATTTGCATACCTAGCTTATAAACATTATGCATGCGTGCAGTATACATTTAAGGCTAAGACACTGTGTGATGAATTGGTCCGAGATACTTAACGACAGACTTGTTTTCTGTACCACCCTCATCAATTTTGCAACGGCCATAGGAATTAACAGCCTCATCTAACTTTCCGGTGTGCGGAAACTGAAATTGACAGTCTGACATTTGAAAGGATTTAGTTTAAAAGCATTTTCTGACTCCTGATAGAGAGTTGTTCATCTTAGTACAGTGTAGATGCGAATTAAAAGACTGGAATAGTTAGTCCGCGCACTTGACATATTTCATTTCGTATGCGTATGCACATTAAGTTCGTCAAACAAAAATACAATTGGTAGTGGACGACAATAATGGAGAAATTGTTGTGATGCAAGACTGCAGCTGCATCTAAAGTACTTCTACTGTGTTTATAGGCGAATTATTTAGAATCGTTAAAGGCTTTAAGTGAAGGTTGAAAATTAAGTAAGAGTAACTTTTCCATAGATTTTAGAAAAGGGGAGGTAATAGCAATAGGTATAAATTTAAAACACGTTTCATTAGACGATTTAGGTATAGGTACAATTTTAATATCCTTCCGAACACCGCAGTTGTTGATCATAGAAATGATTGATATAAGATAACATCACATGATTCAGCGGCATATTAGAAATAGATGAAAATTGTTTCTTTGCTCACTGTCAAGTGAACAGTCTATTTGATGATGTCACTGCATATTAACAGATCAGTCAAGTAGCTATCAAGCCTAAGTTATTACATTTACTTCTACTTCATACTTGGCGTTTAACAGTATAGAGACTTGCAACTGGCCAGATAAGGCGATTTTAGCGTATCGAACAGTACAGAATTATTATTCCACTTGCTAAATCCTACTTAGTTTTTACGATGTGCTACTGTATAGGAACAGACACGAAAGGCTAAAGTAACAGTCTCATAATACCATACTAAATCTCCATCCCACTAACTAAGCTTAACATGCATTGATCCGAATTCACTTATTACAAAAGCACATAGTATAGCGACGCACTGAAAAAGTCTAGAGGAAGTAGAATTGAAGTAAGGACTAGCACAACATAAAGTTGTAAAAGATTATTCTACATATAAGCATGCACTATGAATACACTGATTCCGTCAATACTAAGTAATATCTCATGCAAATAAATGTATTTGTAGTTTACAGCTGGTTTTTATATTGACACCATAAGCATCAATAGACCTCATATGTTTACCAGTATTAAAGGATTATACGCAAATATCGAGACAATCTTTGAAACTTCCATACTGTTGAGGCGCTATACTCTCATCAACCTTACTTGCAGATCAACTTCACACTAAATACGTTTACATTAAATGAAGTATTGCAAATGTGTAACATGGAAATTGATCCATAATCTCAATAATGTCTAATGAGCATAGTTTTATGAATCCTACAGAAATTATATTCTAACAATAAGGAATCTGTAGCCATCATATATAAGCTGAACATGTTTCAACTCTAAACAGCTATGCATAGTGTTAGCAGCACAGAGCAACACTTAAGATATTGTAAGATACGCAGACCTATTGTGTTGATGAGGATAAGAATGACATATAATGCAACCTAAACTTTCACTCGTGATGCGGCATCTGTACTGCTTCATGTCAATGGAAAATTCAGGAAAAATTTATCACCACTACTGGTGATCAAAAACAGTGCAGCATTAAGTTTACAGTGCTAGTGAGAATGGCATAACAGACAGTAGATTGATAGTAATAGAGCTGACTAGATTCAGTTCTCATAATCAACACAATCCATGTGTATAATGATACTGTATACTGAATTAATGCACTAAGTGACACAGTAAGGAAATTTAAACAAGTGATTGCCTTCTCCACTGCACTGCACTTACAATAATCATGACAACCACCTACGTTTGCCAGCCAAGCAGTCAGCTTAGCAATGGCACAATATTAGTAAAGTTGAGATTTTTTATGCATTGAGTTCATATAACTCTTATTACGCTACACCAAACAGTGCAAATATACATGAAATACACTTAGAAAAAACCTCTTAACTTACGATAATTCCTGTCAAAACACACATACGGTGAGACACATCTACATGATTACTTCTATTCCCACAGAAGGCTCTGCTAGCATTTACAGGTGATTTCGAAGTACTGATAGAATTCTGTCGTCAAAAAGGACTGTTCTTCACGCGAAAATAAGCTGAATTAATATCCTGAGATGTGAAGTCTCAATTTAATGATACCATGCCGAAAGGTGCAGCATCTAAATAAATTAGACTATTTGTGTAGATGACATTACCTTTCAACTATCCTATCTTTCTCATTATAGCGATATTTTGCTACAGTTCGCCTGAAACACTGATCGTTGCAACCAATATGCTAGGGGGTGTCGCAGTCAGATTACATGACGCGGACACCAAAATAACAGGCCAGAAAATGGGAATTCTCATCAATCCAGATAACATATAACACAATTTCATTGAAAATTACTGACAAAAAAATTTCCAAGTGAAATTTTAACAGCGCTACTAGAACGTGGCATTTAACGTCTACCCATAATCACTGATAGTGTATTGATATTTCTTTTCCCTAACACATATTTATCCTCTTAAATGTTCAGTTACTATTACTTTTACCACTGTCAACTTGTTACTTTTGACCAAGCAGAAGAAGGGATTTCTGGAAGAACTGAAGTTGATTAAAACAGCTACAGCGTCGGAACATTAATAACTTTCATTCGCATTCGACCAATTACTAATAGACTTTGAAACCTAATATGGACACAGCAAATTATCGACAAGTATGAGCTGATGTCGATAAATGTTTGTTTTTATCAAGAAACTGAGATGAATAAATTATCCTAGTTTCTGTTGGATGGTAGACACTTTATATTTGTTTTTCTACTACAAATCTTAAGGTTGCTCCTCTCTATAGATTGCTACAGAAACAAAAATGACTCTAGACGTTGCAGAGTTGAAGTCAAGGTTGCACAAACAGTCTGAACTGATAATGATTCTGAAGTCAAGAGCTGATTCTGAAATGGAGAATCGCAAGCTTGCGGAGTGTAAACTGCTGTCCGAATTGAAAAGAAATGAAGATCTTAGGGAACAACTTGCACAGTGTCAGCAAAAGTTAGATTTGCAATACAGATATAAAGATTTTATTCTAGAGCTTCTGATGCTGAAATTAATAATCGTGTATTGAGATCTACTTTGGACAGTCTAAGTTTTGAGTTGCTTTGCCAAACGTCAACTAAAAAGTCAGGTGATATTTTAAAGACAGATGCATGTATCCAAGCTGAGCCTGAAAAAAATTTTCAAGATAAAAGTATCAACACCCAGCGGAATGATAAAGAACGTATTGATGTTTATCGTGATAAGCTCAGGTTTGTTATCATTAAGCGGAAATTTTTGGAACTCTGATCAGTTAATATTCAAACGAAATTTGACTTAAACCCAAAGTTCGAAGAAAATTACAGAAATCCTAATCCAGCGATCTACAATTTGTCATTGTTTATAACTCAGAAAATTTTCTGTAGGAACATGAATTAAGGTTCGCACCAAAATAAACTTTAGTTTTTCAGTAACTTATAATGATAAATCGAAGCGTTTGCTATCGAAACCGAAATGAATTAGGTTGAAAGTGTCAGAAGTTGAGTGCTATTAGCGTTCTGTTGAGATGAAAATTATATACAAGCAGTTCATTATAACTTGTGAAGTAAGTATATTTACTTCACAAATCATTCTCACCACTCTATATTTCGGGATGTTAGCCTCAAAATTTGCTTCATTTATCTTAACTATTTCTGAAGTTAATTGATTGTAATTGTGTGGTCAGCATAGGATATTAATTCAGTTCTATATTCCAGTTTTGATTTCCTTGGAATTATTCACCACATTTATGGAGCGATTTTATGGGCTACGATGTTACAGATACTACTGAGCTTTCTTGAACGAGGTTTAAGAGGCTGACGGTATTGACGTTCACGGATGGTACGAAGTATACTAACGCAAGATCTAATACCCACAACTTCTATAGTATTCGTTCCGCGTAGACCAAAGGCAAAGCAAAAAAATATTTGATCGTCCAAATTACGAGTTATATTTCGGGACCAAATCGGAGTGACAGATGATTGCTTAGCTGGCTAGGGATCATGCTCGAACGGGACACGACGGAGTACCAAATGGCGTGGATGCTTGACCGGAAGCCTCCAGCTAAACAAGTCGACTTAAACACTGAGGGTCGGTATCCAATGTTCAGTGATGAGTGCTGTGGTCAATAATTTTGGAAAATTATTTACAGCTACAAGGTAATGTAAAACCAGTAGACGACCGGAAACAAAGACAGAAGGTTTATATTCACATGGAATTCATGGGAATCAACCTAAAAATCAAATGTTAGATAAAATTACGAACTAAAATTCATTGATAACGTCAGTATCAAAAATATCAAAGAGAAGTTACCATATTATGTGTTTTCACTATGTAACCACATCGATGAAAGGAAGTCGATTGCCTTACATCTGAATCAACAGTACTTTGTAAGCATGTCTGATCGATTATTAGCGGTCAGGTTTGCATTATATATTTTTAAGTTTCTTATAAGTCTGAATACTGAATGGAATAAAAAGAGGTCAAATTAGGTTACAGTGACACTGATTTGTCACTGAAGCGCAATAAGATTAGAGTGTCAGCGTCCAGTCTACTACAGAGATAAGAAGCTAAATATAAGGCTGAAAACCAATCAAAATGAAAAATAACCAACATACTGGAAATGTTAACAAAATAGTCATCATGAATGCCTGCAGGCTGAAGGACTTTGGAGAAGTTAGATACTACTAGTAGTATGCTTATTTTTTCAGAAACTATCAGAAGGCTCAGTTAACTCTCTTTTGTTAGTGCCAGTCTTTAAATAATATGTCAAACTGGAGTAAACCGGTAGTAAATTTAATTAATTTATTCCTTTTAAGGAGACTCAGAGAAAGAAGTAACGAGCTTTCTGGTTCGATAAATCAAGTAAAGTCGTTCTACTTGGAAAACCAAAAGACGTTGCGAATCAGTTTGGAAGGTTTAATAGCATTAATAACTACAAAAGACAGCATTCATCTCAGGACAAGCAAAGACTACCACGATGACTGTGTCAAATGGGAAAATGAAAGAAAAACATTGACATCGCAGCTAGAAGATGAAAGGATTTTGAACAACGTAGGTATAAAGTAATATATCGTAGTTTGATAAGTTGAAAACCATATCCTCTAGGTGCACTCTTTAATAGCTGCTAATGTGGAATGACGTTAATCACCAGAAGACTTATCAGCAAAAGAAGACGAAATCAACACCATCTACAAGATAAATTTCATCAATTGTGAGGAACTCTGTGTTGTTCAAAGCGGACTCTCCAATTACAATTCGAATCCAGGAACATAATGTAGCCATCAAAATACATGATATGTATACCTTTATATAAGTTTATTTAGACAGTTATAGGCACCAGTTTGACTAAAAAAATATGAAAATTTTAAAAAGTCTACTTCCAGCTTCACCGCTTTTTAAAAGAAACCTTTCGCTTCACAGAACGTCTATAAAACAATATATTCAGGAAACGAAGATTATAAAATATAATCTTCTGATTACCTTGAAACAAAATGTTTTCTATGCATTTGTGATTTTATAATACAAGGTTGGTCACTAAAATTAGTCTGCATAAATTTGTTGACTAGATATACAGAACCATATAGTTAGCTGTAGTGGCTAATTTTGTGAATGTAGAAGTTGGATTTGTCCTGATAAAATGGTTGGAAAAAATGTCATCTAGTATTCATTAACCTGAAGCATTTTCAGAGGATGTAGGAAATTTAACCACTTTATCAAAGGCTAGGTCATCTGTGATTCAAATTAACAGCCGTAAGTCACACTTTCTGTAAACATCTGAAGGTTCTTGACTTTATGTGCCGCTGTAGGAATACTGGTCCGTATTTAAACCACACTTAAAGTGGTATTCAAGTTGAATTTGTGACCCTTTGTAAGTTAATTGAGTTAGTACTTAGAAATAGTGAGTAATCAACTAGACAAAGACATGCTCTTAGTCCATGACATCTCCGACTAACGAATGAATTTTGTCAGGAACCAGAAGTTGACTAGTCAAAATGGATTTGTTAACTAGTGTTTACTAACCTCTGTGATCAGTCCAAAAAGCACCACAATGACATAAATGGATTAAAAATTGTGCACGTTTCTAATTTACGTTAATGAGAATAACTGAACTGGATTAAAAGAGTGTCTCTATACAAGCTACACTGTTTGAGAAGTATTTTGTAATTGTTGCTATTTGTTTCTGATTGATAATGTAAGTTAATTTCAGAATTCATCCAAATTTCATCATATTCCAACCAAATAATTTAGACAGTTCTTTTCGAAGTTTGTGGAAAAACAACCAATAACTCTTAGTCTGATAAATTTTTCAGGATATTCGTACGAAATTGGACAAATCATATGCAGATAAATCAAAACTGGAGGATACCATAAAGAAACTGAAAGAACAAAGGGAGTGAGTCTTGTTTTGATTGCTGGCTTTTCTTCTAATAACTCAATGAAAGCAATGTTTTTGATATTTTATGTATATTTTCGCAGCTGGATAGTGAATTACTTTCAGTTTGTACAAATGTGTGACGTGATATTTTCTGATTTCTGATTAACTGCTGAAATTAAGGTATTTGAATCTGTAAGGACAAAACACACATATTCCCTTTGGATTATGGGTTTTTGTAGAAATTTGGATCAATTTCAATATAGGTTTTCTTCTGAACCAAGATCAATTACAGATTATTGGAAACGAGAGAGCATTGGGCAGTTGTTTCTTCCTAGTTTGAGACAAATCTTCAGTGAGCGCTCACGACCTCGCCAAGGATCTGACGCTGGACTTTCAGCTTACCAGATGGAGCTTGTTAACCATTCAGCCACTTGCGCCGGAATTCACTGGTCTAACCTCTGAGTGGAACTATATTCTCAAGGTGCTCAATTCTCTGCGAATTTTCCTAATGAAACAAGCATGAAGTTTATCATATCTTGAATTTGATTGTTAGAATTGTTAAGTCACAACTCTTATACTTAGAAATCACCTCCTCAATCGATATATATATAGTGTCATTGTTAATGGTTTTCATTTTCTTTTAAAATTTTACACTATCAGATTATTTCTCTAATGGTATCGGAAGGAATGGCAGTCAAACTTCTACCTCAGCTTCATCAACTTCGAAAAGGCCTTTGACAGCATTGACCGAGAAGTAATTTGGAAACTACTTCAACACTACGGCGTACCTCAAGTCTTTATCAACCTCACTCAGCAGCTATATGACAATGCCACGTGTTAGGTGATCCACAACGGAAAACTCAGCGAGGCATTCGAAGCGAATACAAGAGTGAGACAAGGATGCCCACTACTATCACCGGTGATATTCTAAATTGTGGTGGACTGGATTATGCGTCAGACTGTTGGGGACGAGGAGACAGGAATACGTTGAACCACCGATGAAAAGACTCTAGAAGATCTGGATTTCGCAGATGATATATGTCTAATGTCACACAAACTCGAAGACTTACAGGCGAAAAGCAACAAACTGTCTGGACAAACAGGCAGGCAGCGAATACAGGACGGGGGTGATGAAGATAACCAACGAACCGCAACAACAACCAGCACCAATCACCATCAAAGGGAGAGATTTAACAGAGGTTACCTACTTCACTTATCTGGCTAGGAAGCATAGTTTTAACTGCAGATGGATGACACAGACGAAGATGTCAAAGTCAGAATCCGAAAGGCAAGATACGCCTTCATCCACCTGAAACCAATTTAGAAATCTTCTACACTCAACATAAGGAACAAGATTCTCATTTTCAACACCAGTGTGAAGTCGGTTAGTTCTTCTATGCGGGTCAGAAACTTGGCAGGTCACGGAAAGGATTTCCAACAGGTTGCAGACTTTCATCAACAGCTGCCTTCGCTCCATACCGAATATCAAATGCCCGGCCAGAAGGAATAAGCAACAAGAAACTGTGGCTGGGAACAAACCAATGAAGAGCCGATTGCTTAACAAATATGTAGGAGAAAATGGAGGTGGATCGCACATTGAGGAGACCATCGAATGACATCGCACGCCAGGCCCTCGAGTGGAATCCGAATGGGAAGCGACGAGTGGGTCGTCAGTGCCAGGGTGACATGGAGGAGATCTTGTGAGGAGGAGATGGAAGATTATGGGCAACCGTGGTCCAAGCTGAAGAGGACGGCAGAAGACAGGCCAAAGTGGAGATGTGTTGTTTAGGCCCAATGTTCCACTCGGAACTCATGGGAATAATAATCAATAATAATAATTGGAAGGAAGAAACAATTCTCGAAGTCGTGTATTTGTTTAGTGAGAAAAAAGTTTACTCCTGCTGTTTGTGTACAAATATCTCACAAAAAACAGTATAGATATGCAAAGCAGGACATGATATATAGTGATCAAGTACTTTTGGTGGTTATTCAATCACAAATGAAAATGAAAACCGTTAGTAATTTCGCTCGCTCAGATATAAGATTACCACTCATATACTCAGATAGGTTCAATGAATTGAGTTGAATCAGATTGCTTGCTTAAGCATAGCATATTGGTTGGTTGAAAATTACCTGTTCGCTTTTGTATTATTCATTAGACTGAAGTGGTTCTATTAGTAACGCATGAAAGTGTTGTTTTTAAAAAACTGTTTATTGAAAATATCATATATGCTGACCATCTTATTTTCCTGTTTACTTCTTTTTCTTTAAATCCAAATATGCAGACGTGAAATGAAGGAATTCAATGCAAATAAACGTGTAAAATGTTTGGAAGAGGAACTTATCAATTCTAGGCTAGAAATGGAACAAATGAAACAGGTATGCACCTAACTGAATTTATCGTTGGTATTTTTTTAGAAGGAAGGTTTTCACACTAAATCGTGATTATTTCAGATTCTATATAAGACTAAAAGACACGTTCAGGTGATGATAGCCATCGACTTTGGATTTCACGCAACTTCTGCGTTACAGATTAGGAATACTGCCGTTGTTATACCTATAGAACTCTGAAATACAGTAAGCTGTATCTAGCCAATTGAATATCGCTCGCATATTGTGCTGTGGGGACACAAAAAGCAGACTGATGGGGTAGAACTTTTTCTTCAAGAAGAAGAGGAAGAAGCAGAATGACGATAGTGAATAAACCCATTTATACAAGGACTGACAAGTTCTATACTAAAAAGTCGTTTTCCTTACTGTCAACAATGCACCATTAACATAAGAATTAGAAAACCCAAACCAGAACGAAATAGCTATTCAGTACTCCCTGGTTTTCAGTGGTTCTTTAACTAATGTCACCTAGGAATCTCTATTGAGACCAATCTAATCCCTGAGAACCAACGCTTGGAAATGAAAAATCCTCTGACCTGGGTTAATGATGAGTGATTCTGTTCACAGTTTATTTGGGAAATATTGATCCCTAGCATATTTCTTGTCCATCCGGATAACAACTTTATTTTCTATTTTTGAATTGCAATAAGTCTTTCTTTGGGAAGTCACTTGTGGGTCGTTGTATTTCCTGTAATTTTCTCAGTTGATTTTGGACCATCCATTCAATTATTTTGCAATCGTTTCTTCACATTATATTCTCACTAAGTTTTTTTCAAACCTACATGTCTTGATTACAGTAGCTGTTTATTTTTGATTCCACACTAGTCAGTGACTAGTGTAATGTGTCTAGTCCTATCTTCTCTGCAGACTGAATTCTATCAGTCATGTTTGCAATGTGGCCACCATGCTAGGTGGCTCGCCATTACGGTGCACTGTGAATTGTTGGAAGCCTCGCTTCTGCCGATTGCCTCCAACCATCTAATACAGTAGCTGTTTGCTTTGCACTTTTACATAGATAGTCCTTTTTCTCCGCAGTGGCTCCACCAATGTATTTCGATTTGGTAATTCATGAGTCGCAAATCCTTGTGAACTCTCCAACTGATATTTGTCAGAGTTTCTCTCCATTTAGTCTATCGTATTTCCCTTGGGTCCTTATGTTTTATGACGAATTTTTCGCCCAAATGACAACGACTCGAATCCCAGAAAAGATATGAGTTCCTTCAGGTCCGCAGATATACTTTGCTGACAAGAGCCAACAAGCATAAAAACCTAGGTCCAAGGTTTCCTGTCGATCGTCTCCAGTCATCTGATGACGACAAATATATACCTTTATAAGAAGACAGTCTATCTTCCGTTAATGAGTTGCTCATTGTTTTCTGACCGAAACGAAAGCTATGCAGCTTTCCTTACACCATTCCTTCCTATCCTACTTTCATAATACTTTCTTGAGTATTGCAAAATTCCGTTCCTTTGGATGATTCCACCGAGGATGGTGTAATGGATTTTGTTGTCTTAAGAGTTTTTAATGCAAGCTATATTTGATTGCCAGTTGCACTTCCATCCATGAATCCGAAGCTACAGTATACTACTCTCAGTTCCTTAAATGTAGCTGTGATGAAGGCCTCCTCAATTAAAAGAAAATCTCTAGTGACTTCGAAAATACGACAAATAACACTAGGAGATACATTTCTTAGAATAGGCTAGAAAAATCAACAGTGAATGGGATGAGTCAGACTGTAATTGTGCTTTTACCTAGCAGGTTTATATACGTGCTGTGCGTGTGGGTCATCTATTTCGAGTCACTATGTAAACGTAGTCAGAAAACGCAGCTACATGCAACCGCGTTCATTCTTCTAATGCCTTAATGATATGAGTGGAACTGACGGAGTACTGATTTTGCCATTATTTAGGAAACTATCAACTACTTTGAGGGAGAGAGATAGAGAGAGTACTGCCTTTGGTGAAATTGATTCATTTGAGAAAAGGTGATTTACAGTTGTAACATTTCCTGGTCACAGATATCAATGCAGCATCGTTTTTTCTGGATTTCCTTAAGTTTTTGGAAGAAATTTTAAAGCTTCAGTGACTAATAATATGTCTTCCGCTTGTCATGACTTCTACACGGTATATTTCTGATGCAGATCAACGTAAGACGTTTGATATGATATGAATGTTATCTATGCTATTAGATGGGTGGAGGCAACCATCACGAAGCCTTGGACCTAGGTTTCGTGCTAGTTGGCACTCATCACCAAGGCATATCTGCTGATGAATCTCAGAAGGGACATGAATTCCTTCAAGTTTGCAGATTCGCCTTGCTGACGAGTGCCAACTAGCACGAAACCTAGGTCCAAGGCATCCTGACGATTGCCTTCAACCATTTAATATCATCAAATCAATGTGCACCGTGATGGCGAGCTGCCTAGAATGGTGGCCACATTGCAAACCTGACTGAGAGAATTCAGTCTGCACCAAACAAAGGACTAGACTTGTCGTACTAGTTACTAGTGTCCAGTCAAAGTATGATATCTATGCTTTTAGAGTAACGGAAAGCAGAATGTATTCCTTTTATCATTTTATAAACATATTTGTTTAAAAAGATACCTCGACATACTTTTGAACAAATGAAATATACTTTTTAGTGTGAATATTATTTATTTTCAGAAATATTGATTGCTCACTTCCTCAGTAGGATTAAAACAAAAACCGCCTGAACAAAAATCACTTCAAGTATTGGTTTGCAGGAAGTTGACTGATTGGTTACAGAATTTCATCATGAGCTGACATCGGTTAGAGAACCATTGGAGACCAACTGGGAATACTGGACAGCTGTTTCGTCCTAGTTTTGGACTCTTCATCAGTACACACCAGAAGGAGGTCCCCGGATCAAACCCCAGCGGGTGCCTGATGTGTTCATTTTTATAAACGATGAAGTATTAACCACTATAACGCAGTGTCCTCTGAATTAAAATGCCTAACGAATTTTTGGACAACAAAATTACCATTCAGATTCCTGGTCTGCAGGGCTGTTGTGTTTGCATTGCGAAGTGTGTAAGTGAAATGGTGTTCTCTGATAATGTTGACAGTCAAGGTAAGATTCGAACACAGTACCTGTTACTTCAGTGTCAGACACATTATTGATTCAACTAGTCAGCGCTAGTAGGCATATCTTATTCAATGAGTGGTAGAAGCAATTATCGACAAGTGCTTTTGGTCACCGATTTAAAAGATTTAATTTGAAGTCTTCTTCTGCTTTCATATGATATAGATATGAAATCTATATTAGATCAGCAGTCGTTTCGTTACCATAGTATTTTGATTATGGTTAGTTGTAATGTAACAAAAGAAGACAAGGGGCAGGCAACGTATCGTTTATTGAGAAAATCAACAGATATTTATTGTCAGCGGAGAAGCAGCGTCTTCTGATTGGTTGTTTCCTTGCTGAAGGTTATTCTGTACTGCTTGTGACCGTTTCTTAGAAAGTTAAGCCATATATATCTGCGAATCGTATTTGCACACGTTAGGTCTTCTGTGGTTCGTTGGTCAGATACTCAAGGCTAAGCTTTGTTATTGTTTTCTTTTCTAATGACCGCGATTCGGGACATGAATATTGACGTAAATTGTTGTCTACAATTTTGCCTTGCAAACAGCTCTCACCACAGTAGGTCATAGGTTCCGTTTGTTTTAGTTTGTTGAAAGTGCTTTGATGTACGATGTTGTTGTGTCTATGGATGTATTGCTCTAGATAAGTACATTATTAAGTCATTGTTGTCAATTTTAAAGCTCACTGAATAATCGTAAGTTGACAATGTTTAATTTACAAGCATGACAGATGTTAGTGTATGTTGTCCATAGTCGTTGTTAATCTCTTTATGTTCTCCATGATTTTTTTCTCACTACTTAAATTTCTTTTAACGTGACAAAATTCGAATATATAAAGATACGGATATTACACATACCTCACTTGTTTCATAAGTGGTTATTGCACAGATTGCATTACTTGAAGTTGAAAATCGATAAACGGTTTCATTTTAACGATTACTTATATATATATATATATATATATATATGCTAGTGTTCAGTTTGTCATACACTACATAGGAAAGTATATTATTTATTTACAACGTAAAATATCACTCATTTTATTTTTGAAAAGAGTATTTGACATTGTCAATTTTAAGTTCTTGCGCCATTTTATTAATAAAGATGCTAACTTACACTCTTCGCAGCAAAATCCTAGTGATTTCCTATTTCTCTTTACATTCGTCTTTCCTAAAAACTTACAAACTGTTGTAGTTAAGTATATTTCATACCTCAGTATTCGATGGGCGCAGTCTCCGATACAGTGATTATTTTTGTTCTGACAAGAGCATGCGTCTGAGATTTCAAAGTTACATTAAGATTAAGGGAAGCTCCAGTCTTAAGAAAATAGCCAGTACACACTCGAAGGCACTTAAAACACAACGAACATTAGGCAGAAGACAAGTAGTTCAGCGGAGAGTCTCTTTTCGGCGAATTCATTTTCATAGCTGTACAATCGCAAATATATATGGTTGTTTTGTATGTGTGTGTACAATAAATTTGTCAAACGGAAATGCAGTTAGTAAGTTCAGAGGAATTGGATGTTGATATAAGAGAGTGGTCACAAAATTGATTGTGTGCGTCTGTGGCATAGCGGTTAGGACGCTCGCCGACCATGCACATGGTCCGGGGTTCGATCCCCGGCCGACGCACTCCTTTACCTCGCTAAGCCAGAAATAATGCTGGTGAAGAAGAAAGGTTGGACGTGAGGCTAGCAACCCCATCCTGTAAAGTAAACACTGCTACAGAAACTTCAAACTTCTAGCTTGAAGCCCTATGTTCCACTAAGGAACGTGAAGGAAAGAAAATAATAAAAAATGATGAGTTGTCACAAACGATTGTTAAAGAAGAGTTACGTTATAAGATGAATAGTTTAATGAAAGAGTTGTACTCACGGTGTACATGGAAACAAAATATACGGAATTACACAAGGGTTTTAAGTAGAAAAATAAGCATACAAACAAAAGTTAAGT